ACTGCCAGAGCCATCTAGTAGTGAATCAGGAGAGACTTGGGTGAGAAATGGCCGCTGAATTTTTCTTACGAAACATCTCGTATCATGCACGTAAGGTTCTTTTACGTGCCGTAAATCTACGACATGGGACAGCCGGGTTTATTTCCCCACCGGAGGATTTTAAAAATGCATCGACCTTGGCCGGGTTTGAACCCGCGTACCTTGGGTCCAGTGGCGAGCACGCTAACCACTAGTCTATCAAAATATTATAGCGCATGGTTACAGTGTACAATACCTTTCTAATTTTTTTTTTAATTCAGAATTTTATTTCTTGAAGAATGATTTGTTGACTTGTCACTGGCCATTTTAATTTCAGGGAAACAGTATCCTGCCTCGAAAACATTTTGACATTTCTGTCAACATGTCTTTAAACCTCTTTCAACTTCACAGAAATTTCATAGCTAATCAGGATGTCCATGACTGTGAATTTAAACATAATCTTTGGCAATTTATTATCATCCACGTAAATGCTGCGAGTCTCTAAATGGGAACTGTTTATCTGACTAAACCAGAAAGCCATCTTATGAAACACGTCAGTGCAACAAAGGATAAATAGAGAATATTAGCTTGGTTATCATAAGCACTTTAATTTATGCAAATGTCCAGCTTATCTCCAATTAAGATCTGATGATTCTTACCTCCTCTAGGCTTCCTGTGTCGTTGTAGCGAACTTTGCTATGAGATTCATCTTCTACGTGTTTCGGACAGCCATAACGCTGGCGAGAATGTTGTCGATGCCAGTAATCAAGGCTCTGTTCCAATTCAGTCAAATCTGTGCTGGGTGTACGGTATGGAATTTGGGCACTGGAATCGAGTGATCGTAGGTTCTCTTGCAAATCCCCCACTTCAGGCTTTTCTGAAGCTAAATCCAACCTGCATGGACAATTAGGTGACGAAGTTTATCTGAGTGCATCAATTTATCTCTATATTTGAACATTATGAAGGAAAATTCTCTTACCAGATTTGAGATCCACAGAAATTTAATTTAATTAAAGGGAATAACAAGCACACACAAAAAAACAGACTTCTCGCAAAGCGAATTTCTCGAGCAAGACACATTTAAATTCTGTTACCATGGCTTATTTATTTTAATATCCCAAGAGACATTTTTTCCTTCTGACATGACCCTTTTTAGTGGTTCAGAGGGAAAAATATAAACAATTTAAGAATCTTTTTTATTATTATTTACCAAATATAAATATTTTAATTTACATTTCAGGTACTATTTTAATTTTTACCACCAATATTTTATTAATTCAAGTCTTCTTTGATGGTTGTCTACTATGTAAGAACAAAATCCAAAAATCTTAATGTTCATTATCAATATACTTCACGACTTTGCAACATTTATTAGACACATGCAATTGGGTAAGGATTTTTCATTTGCAAGATCAGGTAATTTATTTGGGACATAAAGAATTTTCTGGTGTATACATCCCATTTATTTTGTGCAGAAATTTCTCAACAAGGCTGAAGTCCCTGTCACAAGGTATTCTGACAGGGACGTACTAAGAAATTTTGTTAAATTTCCCATTAGTAGCCAACAGTGCAAGGAACCTGACAATAGTATTGTTTCTGTTTTGACCAGGACACCTGTCAAAAAAGAAGTATACAGTTAAAACCTTGCAAACTGTGCATTATCGAATCACTATATAAAATCATATATACAGGTAGCCCTCGATTTGCGCCGATTCAGAATAACGCCGATTTTGAAACCAGCAAGTCAAATAGTGAAAAAAAAATATATTTTACTATTACTTATAACGTTTTACAATGTATCTCGTACTGATTCTTATACTAAATCGTAATTCTTACATCGCTGATTTTTAATAAAAATTATAAATACAGTCATCTCTGCAATTACGTATGTTTTGTTAACGCCAATTTGCTCCAATGAGATCGATTAATCGGTAAAAGCTGTTTGTGAAATGCAAACTTTTGCATATGCGAGTTTGCTCTTATGCAATTTCATTCCTGGCGCTTTAAACTTTCAAAGGACTAATTTAATCTCTGTGGAGGTCCCGGGGTTATTTTTACTACGCGATTTTCTATAGGTCGGCGTCTTACATGAATGCATCTATCGCATAACAGCAGAGATGACTGTACGCATCAGTCACATGAAAGAATCGCAGTCAATCGCGGGGACCAACGAATTGCCGATTGTAAGTGTATAAAATATATTTTTTCAATTCCCTTATTTTATTTACGTTATTTCAGAGCTTTAAATGTAATGCCATTATATTACTCGTCAATGTTTTGGTGCTGGGAACGCATGTCATTGACTTCCCATTGATTTACATTATAAAAGAGTTTCAATTTACGCCGGTTCCGTTTACGCCGGTTCGTCCAGGAACACATCCCTGGCGTAAATCGAGGGCTACCTGTACAAAGAAACCTTATACACTTTCAAAAAAAAATATTGTGCCAGATGTGTTTCAACCTCATGAGGTCATCCTTAGTGGTATATTAAAATCAGCCCATTAACATATTGAATCCATACAGTACATACAACAATGCATTGGCACTATGGACTGTGTGCGCAAATGGTGTCCTGTTCCTTTATGGCATGACATAAAAGAGCGCAGGACACAAATAATTTGTCCGTCACAACTATTATTATTTTATTTTATTTTATTGAGTTGGCTTGGTTCAGTTAATTCCCCTACCCAAAGAATTGAAAATCAAGTTGTTACTGCATTCCCGTCCTGGCGTATTCAATCTCGATGCTGGTCTTACTTTTAAATTCAGAAATGACTGAAAACTTCAGCAGCTCCAAACACCATTCACATTCTAGATGAAGTAAAATACATTTATGCTTTTAGTAAATACATCACTTCATATATTTATAAATTTATTTTCTGCTCATAGGCAAGATTTATCTTAGTTCAAACAACTTTGATTTTATAACATTTCTTTGTGCGATATTAAAATATAAATAATCAGGATGATCAACTATTCATGTAACCCATATCAAAATATTTATTGATGGTTGCAATTCAGTATAATTCACATGTCACCTGCTCGAGTCCATCAGATGTCTTTCAACAGTCGAATTCGAAGAATATCTTTCTTTCACAAGTATAATCAGCGTTCATTGTCGAACATAACCTGGCATCCCATTTTCTTTAAATTGCCAGAATAGGTTTAGTGATACATTTCTCAACTCTCCTGGGCCAATTTTTTTTTTATATATCTCATTTGGTGAATCATTTCTATCACTGCAAAAACTCTTCATTGATTTGCATCAGACATGAGGAAATGAATAGATTCACGTATCCCTGAATGCAATAGACATTTCCAACATTTAATATAACATTGTTTTTTTTCTGATTTTAATATAATTTATTTTTTTGAAAAATAGAACATGTGTCAACAGCATGACTTTTTCATCATTCCGTATTACGACCTCCACTATCATCTTAAAACCTTGCATACCGTGCAGTGTTGAAAATTATCTCAAACATAAAATCATGCATACAAACAAAACTTTTCACACTTTGTGCCAAATTTGGGGCAACATTTTAATTCAGTGGCTTAAGAAAATTAAAATCACCGAGGAAAGCAATGCGGTTTCTTCATGCACATTTAAGCAAAAATTCATGCCATAAATGCAAATATTTGTCAGTACTTATTATCAAATCAGTGTAAAATGGCTTCATTTTCATATTCATGTTAAATTATACCAGCATGTATCAATGTAACATTGAGGCAATTTGTATAAATGACGTTAAAATAAAAATCAAAGTTAATTTTTTAACATAGCAGTTTCTTTCGCTGTTCAGTTATTCCTTAAAAATTTTAGTCCTTTATGAAAAGGCATCATCTTCAGTTTCATCAATTCTGTTCCCACGGAATTTTCTCTTTCTCACTTCCCTAACCTTTTCCAACTCCTCTTCATCTCAAACTAATTAACTTCCTGGAACAGATTTCTTCTTAACGAGCTAATAGTTGCTACACTGATCAACAACTTTTCTTTACTTTTTACGGAAGTTGAAGGTTCATTACAGGGTAAAAACGAGCTAGCCAGTTGTCTCTATCCTAGGACAGACAAAATCCTTACGTCTATAATAAACATAAGTTTCCATTCCTGGAAAATATCTGTACTCTCAAACAATAAAAGAATAAATTACACTGGGTTCATTATAACTTGACGCAAGAGACCAATTACAAAACCCTGTCTGTCCCACTACTACCGCAGAAAAAGAATTCAGTTCACCATATTGTGAATGTGTTAGTGGCATCTAACTATAACCCTACTTTTAATCCTTAATTTTCAGCGATTAGTTACACCGGTAATTGTGGGTTATCGGGACACATCGCTTTAAAAAATATTTTAGGTTAGGTTAATATGTGTGGATAAATGACATACACTTGAAAGTTATTATATTTTATTTCAATAAATGACAACTAACCTAACCTATTTTTAAAGCGACGTGTCCCAATAACCCACAAGTACCGTTACACCATAGTAAATAAAAATATTTTATTGTTAATTGTTTTATTTTTAATTAATGTCAGAGGCATGTGGAAGATGCCTCCAGTCATATTTAAACAAACTATAAAAATCGACGACAGAAGAAATAATCAATGCGTTAACATTTATTGAAAAAGAGAGCGTGCAGAATTCCTTGATGATTCCAATAACGCAAGCTCAGCTGAAAGAAGGAAAATGCACAGGTGTACAGCAAAGCAGAAGAGAGCGAATCAAACGAGACCGTATGATGCCTCTTTCAAAACGCCAGACAAAAAAGGAAATGTAAGAAAACTGTTCTAGATTTAGACAGATCGCTGAAGCCATAGTTTGAAGGGCAGTTCACATGAGTGCTTCGTTACAGTCCGAAACCATTGACTTTCAAGATGAGACTCATACTAAAAATATAGGGTTTCACATCGAAGAAGATGAAGTTAAAGGCTAAATTTGATGGAAAAGATTATATTAGAGAAAAGATAATCAGCTGTCTACAGAATTGAACAACACAATACAGAATACGTTGATGAGCCTTCCATCTCGTAACAAATCATGGAACGATAACACAGTTCATAGTCTTCTTAAAAGTACAGGAACAATATCAAATTATTATTAACGCAGAGGCAGAAAACAGTTTAGTCCCAAATGCAATGTTAATGTGTAAAGTAAAGTAAAGTTTGTCCCACTATACGCCATGTAGGCGTTTGGGGTGAGTGGAGGTATAGCTCCTCCCTTCCCTGACCTCGGCACTAGATGGGGGTGAGTGGTCAGCATCACGCCCCGGCCGGCTTTACCCCCGGGAAAGGACCCCGGTACCCATTGTAGAGGAGGCTGGGTGGGCCCCAGAATTCCAACTCAACTAAATATGACACGATGGCCTGGTTTCAAAAGAGTTCATTTGCAGAATAAGAGCCCACACATTTGTACTAATGGTTAACTAGGGTTTATTTTCTAAAGTTGCCTGTCCCATTGCTATGAATGACGTAGCAGAACCTGCAGTTGTTAATATTTCCAAAAATCCACCTATTTAATGTTAATTGTTTTTACACTCTGCACAACAAAATTAATTATTGTTAATCCTTCATACAAATACTGCTTACGTATAGCTTCCCCCAATACCCAAAAAATTTGCATATTTCGTTTCGATTATCCTAAGTCAATATATTTCCTAAATAAATTAAACCAACCTACAGAACACTTAATCCCATCCATTTAATTAACATAGTCGGAAGGAGCATAAAGACGTCCGCCATCACGAATTTACGTAGAAAAAGCGATTGCTAATCATCGGTTAAAAGACAGTGCAACATTTCCGGCCACAGTTCCAAATTTAATAAAAGTACGTTCAGCCGTTCTCAGGTTGTTACATGCGCGCGCACGGTCGAACAAAGCGATCTTGGCAGAG